GAGGATTAGCAGTAGATGTTAGCTCAGAGCCAGTCTTCCTCAGCAAAAAGAGGAGGATTGGCATGGATGTTAGCTCAGGGCTGATCTTCCTCACAAAAAAAATAAGTAAATAAACTGTATGAAAATTAAAATGTATCAAAACTCATGGGCTATAGCTAAAACCAGGCTGAGAGGGAAATTTACAACCTTCAACAAATGGATGGGAAAAGAAGAAAGGTTTAACATTGATGATCTAAACTCAAAGTGAGTAGAAGGAAAGAAAATAATAAGATCAGAGAAGAAAAATAGGGGAAAATCAGCAAACAAAAGAGAAAAGTCAACGAAGTGAAAACTTGTTTCTGTGAAAAGATGAATATAATTAATAAACCCCTAGCAAACCTGATCAAGGGGGGAAAAAAGAGAAAATACAACTAAAGTATCAGGAATGTAACAGGGACTTTCACTATAGGTCCTTCCCACAGACACTGAATGAATGTCATGAGCAATTTTATGCCAATAAATCCAACAACTTAGATGAAATGGATAGATTCCTTGAAAGACACGAACTACCAAAACAGACTGAATAGCCTGATATCTGATAAAGAAATTAAATTGTATGAAGCATTTTCCTATGAAGAAAACTCTAGGCCCAAATGATTTCAATGGCAAATTCAGTCAAACATTTAAGAAAGAAATTATACCAATCTTACGCTTTGTTCTTTCAGTGTACAGAGGAGGAGGGAACACCTCCCAGCTTAGTTTACAACTCCACACACCCCTGATACCAAAACTTAATAAGACAATTACAGACCAATTTCCCTCAAGAGCAGACACAAAAATTCATAACAAAACACTAACAAATTAAATCCAGTAACACATAAAAATAATATATCATGATGAAAGGTATGTGTAAAATAATATATCATGACTCTCAGAAATTCAAGCTAATTTAACATAAAAGAAAATCAACGTAATGCACCACATTATTGGGGGGGGGGAACTATACGATCACCTAAATAGATGCAGAAAAAACATTTGACAGAATTTAACACCCAATGATGAAGATAATTCTCAGCAAATTAGGAAGAGAACAGCCTCAGCCTGATAAGGGGGTCTCCACAAAACTCCTACAACTAATATAATATTTTATAGATGAAAGAATGAATGCTTCCCCCATAAGACTGGGAACAAGGCAAGGATGTCTGCTTTTACCACGTATATTCAATGTTATTTACACTGGATTTCTTAGCCACTGCAATAAGACAAGTAAAAAAAAAAAAATAAAATGTATCAAAAACTAGAAAGAAATAAAAAATTTTATTCAAAAATAATGGGGGCCGGGGGCGGGCCCCGTGGCTTAGCAGTTAAGTGCGCACGCTCCGCGACTGGCAGCCCGGAGTTCGGATCCCAGGTGCGCACTGACGCACCGCTTCTCCGGCCATGTTGAGGCCATGTCCCACATAAAGCAACTAGAAGGATGTGCAACTATGACATACAACTATCTACTAGGGCTTTGGACGGAAAAAAATAATAATAATAATGGGTGCCAGCCCAGTGGCATAGTGGTTAAGTACATGTGCTCCGCTTCGGCAGCATGGGGTCCGTGGGTTCGGATCCCAGATGCATATCTACACGCCACTCATCAAGCCATGCTGTGGCAGCATCCCACGTATAAAGTAGAGGAAGAGTGGCAACAGATGTTAGCTCAGGGCCAATCTCCTTCACCAAACAAAACAAAAAAAACCACACAACAACTTTTAACATCTTTTCGAGATATCATTCACATACAATAAGATTCACCCATTTTAAAGTGTACAATTCAATGGTTTTAGTATATTCACAGAGTCTTGCATCCATCACCACAATCTAAGTTTAGAACATCTTTATCATTCCTAAAAGAAACCCCATACTCATTAGCAGTCACTCCCTCCTGGAAAACGAAAATTTAAAACACAATTTATAATAACATCAAAGAACATAACACACTTAAGAATAAATAAAATGAAAGACATCTATGTTAAAAATTATGAATAATTGCTGAGACAAAATAGACCTAAATAAATGGAGAACGTACCATGTTTATGGATAGGAAGATTCAATAGTGTTAATTTTTCCCAAATTCATCTATAGATTCAACACAATCACAATAAAAAATCCCCAGGGGCTTTCTGGTAGAAATTGAAAATCAACTGATTTTCGCCCCCAAAAGGTGCCAAGGTAAATCAATGGAGGAAGAAAAGTCTTTTCAACAGACCCTTACCTCACACCATACACAAAAATTAATTCAAGATAGATCAGAGACCTAAATATACAAGCCCAAATGGCAATTCTTAAAGTAAAAAACAAATAGAGTATCTCTGTAACCCTCAGGTAGGCAGAGAATTCTTGGAGAGAATACACAATGTAAGACCCATTTTCAAAATTTTATAGATTGAACTTCAACAAAACTATAAAATTCTGCTCATTAAATGACACCAATAAGAAAGTGAAATGGCAAGCCTCAGACTGGGTGAAAATATTCCCAATATAGACTCATACCTAAAATATATTAAAAACTTGTACCAATCAATAACAAAAAGACAAATAACCCCCTAACACAGGAAAAAGACTTCGAGAGACACTTTACTAGAATGCATAATATTATATCATATATGAACATAATTAGGGATATAAGAACATGAAAAGGTGCTCAACTCACTAGTTATCAGGAAATGAAAATTAAAACTACAATGAGAAACCATTACACACCTACTGAAATAGCAAAAATCAAAAAGACTGACCATACAAAGTGCTGATGAGGAGGTGAACTCGCATACACTCCTGATGGGAGCGTGAGAGGGTATGACCACCGCTAATGGAGGGCGAGATGTTATGACGCCCACGGACAGAGAGGGAAATGGCATGACCACCACTGATGGGAGAGTGAGATGGTACAACCACTTTGGAAAACTATTTGGCAGTTTCTTATGCAGCTAAACCTATATCTACCCTTTGATCCAGCAATTTCAATCCTAGGTATTTATCTAAGAGAAATGAGAACATATGTCTACAAAAAAGATATGAACAAGAATGTTCACAGCAGCTTTATTCACAATAGCAAAGCCTAGACACCCCAAGCATCTAACAAGAGGATGAATAAACGAATTATGAAACATTCATACCATAAAACATTCCTCAGCAATAAAAATAAGAACCTATTAATATACACAATGATACAAGGACAATCTCAAAAACATTATGCTGAGTCAAAGAAGAGGGATGAAGGGGAGACCATCTCATAGGCTGTACAACTCGATTTCTTTGGGCAGGAAACAAATCTATGGTGACACAAATCAGAAACTGACTTTAGAGGGCTGGCAATCAACTGGAAGAGGGCACGAGGCAACATTCTAGGGTGATGGGCATTTACACGCACTTGTCAAAAGTCACTGAGTTGTACTCCTATGATCCTATTGAGATACAATGAAATACACAAAACATTTCACAAAAAATAAACCCAACGGAAACTCCCTGGGGGAAAAAGTCAGAAAGATCTGCTGAGACTTGAAGAGTTGATAACTAGTTTAAAATATTGTGTTGGTGTGCATAGATTACCCACTTAAATCAATGAAGATCAATAAAGGAAGAAACAGAATACCTGTTAACTCTCCTTGGGCATTTCTCTGGCTTGATATCCAATTCATAATGATAGATGTCAATTTTTGGAATGTCCATTTCAAAGAAGTTGGCCTGTAATTTGATTGTTCTCCCGGAGGTCCCGAAGTCGGGTCTAGGTGGAGGCTTGAAGGCATATCCTTGGATGGGTGGTGGTGGCGGCGCAGGAGGCGCGAGCACTGCCAACAGCAAAGAGAACATCTGTTACCCAGGGAAATAAAGGGCTCTCCTAGAGTGCACCTGTGAGCAGCCTCACACGGAGTGGAGTCTGGGTGGTGGGCGGTAAGCACCTTCTGTGCATGACCCACCCTTCTCCACCTCCCTTGGACCCTGTACCATCACAAGCCCCCTCTGGTACTTCTAGTCTCTCCTTCCCCACTGCTCCTTCTCCTCCGTTACGTTCACACGTTCCCATGGACAACCTGAAACTTACGCCCACCCCCATCCAGGTCCACCTCATCTCAGAGACCTCTTAACTGCCAGGCACAGTTAAGAGGTGGCATGTGACCCTGCACTATGTCCCCCTTTTTTTCAAACTGTTCCCTCTCTGGTCCTCTCCTTGCTCTGCTCAGATCCTTGAAATGTTGGATTTTCTCTACCTGGTTCTCTTCATTTCTTCCTGTAGTTCAAACTCTGCCTCTACAGTTAAACTTCTTTTCCCCAAGCTCGTGCCTCCATCAATGAGGCCGTGGTCTACCCCACTATCAAGACCCTTCCCACATATTCTTCACGGCCAACTGCACAACAATCCTCATCATTTAACTGCTTTTCTCTTGAATTCATCCCTTCCTATCCATCCCTCTCTGCCTCAGCCCAGGTCCCCATTTCATCCTTCACAGGCGATTATGGAAGCCTTCTAGTAGGGTCTTAGCTTCCAGTCACGTCCTTACCCATTTTCCATGCTACAGGCCAGAATGTCTGATCTCACCCTGTCCAAATGCTTCCGTGGCTCCCAGCACCTGGCTTGGACACTGATGCACTCCCAAGTCTTCACAATCTGGCCTCAGCCTTATCTTCCACAGCTCTGAGACCTCTCCCGAGAACCAGCCTTCACTCTTCAGAGCCCCTGCACATGTGGGCTCCTGCCCAAGAATCCTTACGGAACTCATTTAGTTCTTTACTCCCATGCCTCCAGCTCACTTTATTCACATTTCCAGTATAAATTTGCTTCACTGTGCTGTAATCACATTAGGCTATCTGTCTCCCCAGTCAGACCATGAGCAGCTTGAGGACTGAGATGTCCATCTGCCCTAGGGTTGAGAGAGCCCCTGATGCACAATAAGAGCCCAGAAACATTTGATCAGCCTCCCTCCATTAGTATCTGAGAAAGCTGAAGTTCAGCCAGGTAAAAGAAGGTTCCCAAAGTCACTCAGAAAGTGTCCTTTACAACGGACCACAGAAGTCACAAAGGAAGATGTTTGCAACACCAAGAGTCAAGGAAGCTGAGCCTCCCCAACACCTACGCTCATGCAGGCACCTTGCCACACCTTGCCCTGAGCACCACTTCCTGCATGTAAACCCCTCTTCCAGGGGCTTCTGACAGCTGTGCATGGGTCAACACAGGCACTCAACTATCTATACAATCTCTCTGGTCCCTGGAAACTCTTTGCTGCAACAGACCAATATCACATTTCCACAAAGGAGATGTCTTAACATTAAGTCAATTCTTTACTTAAAAGGCATTATAAAAACTCATTGGTTATATTTGCCATGTACAATTCTGTTCTCTTTCTTTGCACATGAGACATTGGAAAGATGGGGCACTGTGAATTATTAGCAAAGGAGACAGGCCAAAGAGATAAGACTCACATGTAATTAAAGGGGCCAAAATTGTCAAGGTGTTGTCCTTCCTTCATTACTATGCAAACCATTAATCTAATCAAGGAGTGCTTTTTTTCACAGACAGTAGAAAGAAACTTCATCCCAACTCAGATTTTCAGTAATTCCATTAGTAAAATTCAAACTGTGGCTTTATGAAAAAACCAATTAAATATCTTTCCTGTAACAGAATACTTTTAATTTTCACTCAAATGTCTTTGTTTAAAAAAAAAATCCTCATTTAAAAAAAATTCCATGTACTTCAATCCCTATTGACATTCACTGTAAACAAAATACTCTACTAAAAATAATATAAGCTGTTCTCACTGTGTTTCTGACCTAGAAAAACTCAAAGGGTCCTTGAATTACTTGGTTTTTATTTTGTTTTCTTTTTATGAGAAAATGAATATGAAAGGTTATTAAGTTCACTGAGTTATATCATCTGGAAACTTTCAGGTCTCTCTCCACTAAGATACTATGACTTCATAGATGACATATTTGCAGACTTTCACAACACTCCATCCCTTCCTTCAACAAGCATGCTCGTGTGCCCCTCACATGCTAGGTAGTGTGCCAGCGACCAAGGATACAAAAACAAACAGTGTTCTCAAGCAGTGTCACTTCCCAGAAGGTCTGAGAGCAAGTCATTAAATGGATTAGGTGTGCTTACTTCTCATCAGCTCAGCAGGTCACATGTGACCCTTCCCTCTACGGATCCTGTCCATGCCAAGGAGTGGACACCACTGTCCAGCTCGGCTCAGCTCACTCCCTGCGGATGAATGTAGCTTCTCTGTGCTCAGCACCAAGTGTCTCTAACACACGGCCCCTGTTCTCAGGTGGACTCCTATCCAGCAAGAGGAATCTTGCAAATGTAGAAACAAAGTTAAACCACAAGAAGTTACATTTGTGTCCCAGGAAATGTCCAGCCACAGAGCCACAGAAATCTGCCCCCCACAGTCAATTACAGGAACAAGAGCACTATCCACACTGAAGGGACTCCCAGTTTACAAAGTGCTTTCACATGTTTCTTAATTGCGCCTCAAAGCTACAGAGCAAAGGTGCCGCCTTTGAAAAGTGAAGCTGTCCAAGGCTCAGACAGAGTAACACAGAGTTGAGGTGCCCAACTCCACACCCAGGCTTCCTCCCACCCCATTACCAGCCATCAGTCCCCAGCTGGATGCTGATGGTTTCACCTTCAATCTGACCAACTGGCATAGATTAGGCTTAGGGCGCCTTTCTCAGGTTGAGCCTATTTCTCCTGTCTCCCTAATACCTATTACTTCTACAAAATTTGCCACGGGAAACAAAGAAAACTGTCCACCAGTTTGTGTTAACTGACCTGTATTAATAAAAGCAACGGAAAAAATGCGATCGTAATATATTCATAAAATATATAATTTCACAAGATATTTCTTCTTTGCTTCTAGCTTTTAACAATGAAAATACTAACAGTTCGTGGGAAGGCATATGGGATATAAAATCACGAGTTAAAGCTGTAACACTTTTCCACGCAGAGGGAATAGGGAGAGGACTCTCAAGTTGCACACCTCCGAGAAGGAACTCTCCTACTGAAGAACATGAAAACTCTGCTGGCCTCAGTCCTTGGAGATACCTTAGATCATATTTTTATAATTTATAGGGAGTCCCAAGCGTAAACTGCCAAAACAAGCAGGAGGAGTCACAAACAAAACACTGGAGAGGATCAAGTACAGCAGAAGGTGCACAGAATTCCACACAGGCATGAGAAAGGAACATAATGGCACAAAGAGGGAAGACCACCCTCCTTGGAGGGTTAGCTCTTGGCCTCACAAGTAGAGAATGTACCAAGATGGCAACCAAAGCTGTAAAAGGCCAAAGAGATGAATGGGCACACACACCTTCATCACAGTTGACACAGGTGATTCTGAAAACTAATTCCAGTATCACCTGAAGATTAGTTCTCCAAGCGCTCTCTTTCCACAGCACATTTATTTCACTGGTGCTGCAGTAGGAACTGAGCCTGTGATAGCAGATATGCAGCAGGGCAGGGTATCAGCGGGAAAAGATGAGGAGGGGAGAACTCAAACACGGCGAGCCCACTGAGGTGGGGTGCTTGGTGGGCACGTGCTTCTGAGGTACACAGTTCTTGTCCCCCCAGCACGAGCTCCTGGTCAACCTTCTTCACCATGGGCTCCCAGCAGCAGGTGCCACCAACATCCGCCAAATAAACTAAAGCTGAGTAACAGCCCAAGAGCACGAGGCATCTGGGAAGACTGCACCAAAGAGACACCACTGAGCCGGCATTACATGAACCAGTCGTGGCTCTGGCTGCCTGCTCAGCAGGGACTGAGCCCCCAATCCCTCCCCTGGATCTAAGACTCCACCTCATCTCCCAGCTACTGCCATGCCAGCCAGCCTGTGCCGGGCTAAGCGACTCTCCCCACCGTCAAGGTTCTCCCATGTCTTCTCCATCCTTCATGGAGAAATTCAGGTTCTACCTTCTTGTGAAAGCTATCCCCAGACACCAGCACCTGCGTTTCCTCCCAACAACAGGCAGCATGTACAGCCACACCCCATTTGACCACTAATCAACCAGTTTTGTTTGGAATGGATTTCCCGCTGTATCTGTGTTAGTCTTGCCTCTGCACTGGGAGGTAAAACCCTTGGGAATGGGAAAGCCGATCCTTCTTTTTCATCCAGGAACAATGGATTGTCATAGCTGGAAGAGACTTCAGCTGTGCCGAGGGGGAAATGACTCATCCATGGCAGTTGCCAACGTAGCCCCTCAGTGCTTCAATGACGCATCCATCGTCTGGCATCTCGACTAGAGTGAGTTCGGGGGAGTGGGGTTCCTGAGACCAGGAATCCAGCACAGTGTCAGGTACAAAGTAGGCACCGAGTGTTTACTGAATTGCTGATCACTCAGCACGTGTTTAAAAATTCCCTTTTTAGAGCCACACACCATCAGTGAAAGGGAGACACAGAGCAATGAGTCATCGACTTCCTGTATGAGTAACGGGGTCATAGCAACTGAAAGTTGCAGTGTTTCTAACAGATGCCGTGGGAGGCGACATGGTCACGACACTGTAAGTAAGGCTTCTGAAGGACAGCGCTAGTCCTCCTAAAGAAATCCACCCCCCAGGGTTTGGAACGTCACTGACTGTTCAGAGGAGGGTCCCAGAGCAGGACTATGTGACACTTGTCCCCACGTGCCATCTCTTGGCAGCCCTCTCCCCTGTGAAAAAGGAAGGCAAGCCCCTCCCCAGAGTCGTGCTCTCGTCCCAGCCCTCCCCTTAAGTAAGGGATGGAGACAGGCAAAGGCTGCTACACAGAGTAAGAAAGCTAGGTGACCAAAAGAGAAAAGTGAGGGCTTGCCGGAGGTTCTCAAAAGGATGAGGTGCCCTGGGTGGGGCAGGAGGTGCTGCAGAAATTCAGTACCCA